CGATCGCATGCGGCAACGCCCGCCGCCGCCGTCGAAAAGGTGGAGGGAGAGGCAGAAAGCAGAATTGGAGGTGACGCTGGGGACAGATGTTGCGGATGGAAGAGGTGAGGGCGACGTGGGGTTGAGAAGAACATCTCGGTGAGCCGCAGTAGTGAATACAAATGTCGAAATGCAGTCATGCAAATTAAAAAAAAAATACCACAGTGTTCGAAAGCTTTTTATTAAAATTACCGCTCCATCTAGATCGCTGAATGATTACTGAGAGAACAGAAAATCTTTATTGCAGACATTATGAATTCCATTTAAGGGTGACTTTGCAATTTCTCTTGCATCACTCTTGTTGTCTTGCACTACAAATTATAATGTTCAAGAGAATGATTTAATAATCACATCCCACACAGTTTTTAATTGTTTTTGAAGTAAATAAATAAATAAATAAATAGATAGATAAATAACGTCTCACGGATTGCGGATTCTATAAAGGAAACGACTATCAATATTCTGTTTAATTGCAAAGTTAAGAAATAAAGTGCTTCTAGGATATCAATTATGATCTGGGTTTCAAAATTGCACAGTAATTTTCTGCTATAAATCATATTTCCGCATCACAAAACGTACAGTAGGAAAGACCCCTTTTCTCTTCTTGGAACAAAGTGCATGAATTCAATAATTTATCTACTGCACAATGGCTCTTACCCCTTAACGTAAATTTCAAACAGTATTAACGTCCTTTGAAATAATACGTGGCAACGTAGGCGGGAACCATACATAGAATAAACCACAAATTCTCAGTTCAAAGAAAGTAGCACTAAATATATTAATAAATTCAACGGTATATATGGTGCTACTTAGATTAATAAGCCTATTTTAGTTTCGATAAAAGAGTCACGATCATGTGTTCTAGCAGCGACATGTAAGAATAAAAGAGAACCTCCAGCACGAGGCGAAGGCCGACGCGGAAGGTAGAGGAACGTGCACCGTGTTGTGTCCAGGATGTCAACAGCTTCGTGCTCTGGCGCAGGGAAGATTCCCGGTTCGCGAGGCGGCGTGGGAGGCCGGGGGCGGAGAAATCGGCGGAGCGAAGCACGAGCGACGGGTGATGGGAAGAGGAGTGGTGGGGAGAGAGGGGGGGGGATCGGCAAAGTAGCAGCCGCTCCCTGCCGACAGAACGCTCTGTATTAAACGGAGGCGACGAAGGCGTGAGCACAGACGCCTTTAGCTTCAGCGTCAGCCGCTTCGCGTTGCTGGGGCTCAAGCTGCATCGCCTTGTTTCTGTTTTCGATTTAGGGAAAATTGGTTCCTAAAAAGAAAGCCTTTCGTTGAATATGCGCCGGGATATGTAGCAAGCAAAGGGGCTGGCTTGTTGAAGAGGGTCTGGGTGCATGACTTGACTGCAAGGGTCTGTAGGGAGAAGGGGCTCATCTGCATAAGAAAGAGCTCATTGACTATATTCTTCTTTAAACTTAGTGTAGCTATGTGCAATGAGATGCTTCCGGGACTTTGTAATATATTTTAGTAAAACAAAAATTAATTCGACCTACGTATACATCGGAGGTCTCTGATTTTTTATTGGAATATTCTTGAAACTACCGGCTACTCCATTTTGGCACACTTTGTAACAATGCCTGATGTTCAATTATGTAATAGTGAAATCTACCTAGTCACTAAAAGGAAGCGCAATTTACCAAATCTCCCAAGTTTTACTTTTACAAGTTGATACTTGTCAAGTAAAAATTATTTTTATTTATTACGTTTCACGAGAATAATAAAAGCGTTTTCATTACATTTTTATAAAAGTGAACTATCCCGCGCTTCGAATAATTTCAAAAATCTCGTTTTCTCAAAGATGCAAGTTCCTCGTACCGGATTCATCTCATCACGTTCTCCAGGAAAGGGGTGGGAGTAAGTGCGCAGTTTCCTCTAGGGATAATCCCACGCGCGGAGGAGGACGAGGGAGGAGGAGGGGAGTGATCACGCGAATTTCAGGAGAGGGCGGCGGCGGCGGCGGCGGCGGCGGCGGCGGCGGCGGCGGCCGTAGGAAGAGCGGCGGGGCCGGCGTGGGGAGAGGCGGGACGGGCCTAGCCGCCTCCCCCGCTCAGCAGCCAGTGCGACGGGCTCGCCGCTCGGGGCAGCACGTTCGTAATCACGAGTTAGTGCACCGGTAATGGATTGCTCCGGCGGGGGGTTGGGGGGGGGGCGGGCGGCGCGCGAGGCAGTGCGCGCGCTTCCGCCGGACCGAGGTGCGAGGCCGCAGGCGGCGCCGCCGCCGCGCGCGCCGCCCTCGTCCTGAAATTCGCGTGATGCCCTCCGCTCCTC